AAACCTCTCATCACATCTTCTTTATCCATATTTTCATTTATATTCAACTTCATTTCAACTTTATTCACAGCAGACACCCTAGCTTTTCCATATACATCTTCTTTACATCTCACTTCAGAATCAACAGTCTCAACTTCCTTAATAACACCTAACACACTACCTGCTTTCAAAACAACATTTCTTTCTCCATCATTCACAATTTCTACAGGAACAACATCATCACCTTTGACTAATGCACAAGATACCAACACTTGTCTATCAACACAAGGTTCTATCACATACTCTTTCTTTTTCTCTAACTCATAATCTGCACAAACAGAAATTCTCATCACCGTCAATGGTGGAACTACTATTCTCTTTTTCGTTCTCACCACATTTTCACAAATTTCAACTCTTTTCTCTAATTCATCAACACATTTCTCATCACTCTTAGCTTCCGTCTCACCATTCACTTTACTCAAATCAGAGTCACCTTCAACTTCTATGCTTCCCTGTACACATTTTTCTCCAATGATCAAAATATGATCAACTAAATTCACCACACAATTTCTCTCCTTCAAAAACTTCAATCCCAACAACATATCAATTCCTTCTTGCAAATCTGCAACATATACATTTTCCTTATATTCTATCCCATCAATCTCAATACTCAAATTTTCTACTTTATGACCTATCATAAATGCATTTTTTCCAGCAAGCATTAATTTCAGAGTCTCGCAAAACTCAGGCACACCCTGCAATTTACTATAAAATCTTTTATTTACGATAGTAAATTGAGCTGCCGTATCCACAACTGCTAATGTTTTCACACCACCTACACTAACAGGAATCACAAAATTTTCTCCCACTAATTCTCCAACATTCATCATTTTCACATTTCCACTATCTATAATCCGACCTTCAACATGAAGTAAGGGATCCGAAATCCGGTCGGTCAATTCGTCCCGTTCTAGTTTACCGAATTTCTTGCACCAGGAGGAGGATTCTTTGGTATTTCTCTATTTTGAGGGCAATTTGTTTGAATGTGACCTCTCTGTCCACATTTATGACAAATCAAAATAGAACTTGGACTGGCATTTTTACTAACATTGGGATTAGGTGGATGTTCTACAATTTCATTCTTACAATCCCTTTGAACATGACCTCTTTCTCCACATTTAAAACATTGTGGTGGACCCCCTCTACTTTGATTTATGTTTCCATTCTGGGGTGATTTTACAATTCTACTAGAATTTCTCTGAGAATTTGACGGTGACACCCATGCATCATTCATTCTTTTCATCTGATCACACATAGCAGACATGGTTCTTTGCATGTTGTAGAGTAATTGATTTCCACTTCCATTCTCCACACTCTGATCAGACATTCCAACTTGTCTAATATGCACATTTCTTCCACCTGTACCATACACAGCTTTGAAGTTATTGTTTGCAACTTTCACAAACTCCAACGCTTCAAATAAATCTTTAGGCTCTTTATCCATAGCCAATTTTGCAGATTCTTTGTCACGACACCCTCTCAAAAATGAATCCACAGCTATTCCTTCACCACCTTCTGCATATCCCTCTCTAGATGCCATGAACACACGATGAGCAAAATCTTGCAAAGATTCACTTTCACCCTGCCTCATTGATTGAAGTGCTCTACGTGCTGATGAAGCAGACTCTTTCATACTAAAACGTTTTGACATCACTTCTTTCAAACGTTTATATTTGCAGTTTCCAAACTCCACCGCATACTCAAGAGCTCTGTCTTCCAAACATTCAATCATTCTGCTAGTTTTTCTTTTATCATTCCATCCATATCTTTCTGCCATTCCTTCAAACTTAAATACAAAAGCTTCCCAATTTTCTCTTCCATTCCCACTAAAACTAGGCATTTTATGAACAGGTCCTTTTTCTCTTTCAACTAAAGGAACTCTTTTCTGTTCACATTCAGATTCACTTTCACTTTCGCTTTCACTATCACTTTCACTCTCTGCTAGTTTCAGTATTGGTTTTTTCACAGGGGTTTCCAAACTTTTCTTTTTACTACTTCTAGGTGCAGGTGTGGGTCTACTTTTAATATTTCTAGGAGTTGGCCTAGGAATTTTTTCTAAATCATGTTGTAAATGCATCCTTTCATACTGAGTTTGCAAATGATTATGTCGGGCTGTCATCTCATCCAATTGCAATTTCAAATCCATTTTTTCAATTTCACACCTCTGCAAACTTTCTACACGTTTTTTCAACAATTCATTCTGTGTTTCAACCTGAGCATGTAACATCATTTCTTTTGTGGAATACTCTCTACACTCTTCTTCCATTTCCATTTCTTTTTTCATCAACACTTGTTTAGTTTTTCCCAACTCACTCTGAATTTTCACATTTCTTTCTTTCAACATATCATTTTCATTTTTCAAATCACACTTCTCATTTTCCAAACTATACTTTTCATTTTCCAAAGCATATTTCTCTTTTTCCCATTCACTCTTTTCATTTTCCAACTTTTTCATTTTAGCATCATTTATTTCCAATTCACTTGATAAAAATTCCATCTTTTCTCCCGCTTCTTCAACCTCATCTCGAAGATTTGATATCATTTCATTTTGTACCTTCACTCGCTCCATCAACTTTCTATACTTTTCTTCCCAATTCACACTCTCTTCCTTTTTCTCATCTCCAACTTTTGAACCTTCATCTTTTTCTTCCATTACACCCAGAATCACATTACCCTTCTTTTCCCATTTCTGCCATTCTGCTACACTAATACCAGTAATTTCTTCCAAATCACTCAACAGCAATTTTCCTTTTTGATTTCTCAAAGACACCAATCTATGAGCTTTCACTGGACCAATTCCTTTCAAATTTTTCAATTCTGTCTCAGACGCTGTCTGCACATTCAACACAACACTACTTTCTACATTACCCGACGCCATTTTCACTTCCAGTTTCCCACAACCTATTACACAATTTTATTGATAATAGCAATGCAGCTGTGCCACAAAAACTACACAATAAAATACTTTCACCACTACCACACTTTACTGTTTGAAGAAAGTTTCAGCAAAAAGCCACTACTAAACTTCACAGTAAATACAAACAAATCTCTCGCACTATTCAACCTACTCACATTTACACCTATGATGAAGCACCTTCAACACAGACGAACAAGGTAGAATAGTACTCTATCAATATATGCTATTGCAATATTGATAAAAATATACAATAAACAATTCACACTCACTCCCTCATTCAGCAAGTCAGTGAAAAACACAAATTTGAAACCTTTATTTTAAATAAATGCTTTTCTTTGTAAATATACTCACTAAATAATGTTCTGTATTCTAATTACAACATAAGGCTCTACACGCACGGGCCTGTAATTACATGTGGTCTGTCCGACTACTACTCAGTACACGTGGTCTTTCCGACTACTACTTGGTCCGCAATGTCTCCGCAGTTGTAGTATCACAACAGAAAATTAATACAAAATATCTCTACTAAAATGAATTCTAAACTGAAAATATTTACTGAATTGCCGCGAGTATTAAACAACAATGAAAATGAAATATCACTGCAATATGTTCCGACTAGTTCGCGTCTTGCAACAAGTCCCGTCTAACACGTGTCACTATCTTTCCAACTCTCACTCAGTCATACACAAAGCTTTTCAAAAATTCCAATACCACTAATAACTACTAATTATATCTGCTAACTACATAAGCTACACAAATTCTATCCCGTAAACTGACAACGTTAGCTACACAAATTTAATTCTGTCAATTTAACAACATATGCTACACAAATTCTATCCTCTAATAACGTTAGCTTCACAAAATTCTATCCTGTCAACTAATAAGCAACACAAATTCTATCCTGTCGACTGCGCCAATTGTTACGCCTTCGCGGCCGAGTGCCTTATGAAGGTACAAATAACAATGTACTTACTGGTGTCTCAGAGTATAACTACTACTACTATCTCCTA